TGACGGGCCCAGCCTTGGCCAGCGGCAGGTCGGTCTTCGGAGCCGGCTGGCACTGGCTCTATCAGACCTAGGGAAAGCTTCTAGCAGCTTCCACAGAAGCCGCCTCTACAGCCCTCCTGCCACTGAAATCTGGCCAGGCAAAGCCAACACATGGGAGCATGTCTTTTCATAAAGTTTAACAAAGCTAAGTATACAGCTGTCATAAATATTTTGTAATGTTTACCTGCTAAACAAAGCTAAAGTTTTGGGGTTTTTTTTTTATTGTAGGGTATGGTGACATTGCCTTTGAGGTTGAAATCCTTGCAGGGAGAGGCGATAATCTTGGAAAAAGCTGTTATTGCAGCATTGGAATGAATGTGCGAAAAATAAATTCGTGTATTTTTTTTGTTGAAAATTTTGGAACGCTTTAATAGGTATTGTTTAAAACTATTAGATAGTTACTTAGTATGACAACTGACTGTATGCCTCTTAAATAGTACTCTCTTGAACATGGAAATGTTATAAGCTGTGGATGTTCTGTTATGCCTGTCTGAGGCATGGGGACAGAGAAACTGGTCATTGTAGTGGTCTAGAATAGCGCACGTCATTTGTCCCGTGTTTATAGAGCCTTGGTGTGGAGCATTTGGCTCTAAACTGAGCTGTTAATAAATATATAAGTAATTATTATTTTAGTAAGCTTAAAGGGAAATATGAAAACCATAATCTCTTTTGAACATTAGGTAACTGTCAACAACTAATAGTATTTGAATTTCAGATTTGCAAATAGGAACTGAGTAACTGGCTTCTTTGAATATCTTTACTTTCCGAAAGTAAAATTTCTGCATTGTGAAGTGAAATACTTTACAAATGCTGGTTGTAGAAAATGGAACAGGACCCATATTTATCCAGGTTTGTACAATGTGTTGTTTGTAGAACTAAAGCTGGAGTAAGTTCCTGATTTATGCCTGTTTATTCTGCATCGTATAGTTATCCCATGTACCTTTTAAACTAGAAACTTAAGATTGTATACTCATCCACACATACATATGTACACTTCTCTTTTTTTCCAGAGTATCCTCTGAATCCTAAATCTAGATCTCAGAGAATGCTGGTCATTAAAAAGGGCAGTGCAAAAGAACTGCAAATATCTGGATTCCCAGTAGTAGGAGGTCTTCATTCACAACCAGTAAGGAATAGAACTGGCACAAGCTTTTATAAAGGATTAGTCCCTACACCTGTCGCTCCACCCACAAAGGTGAGTCTTGCATACCACTGGCATGAACCACATGCTCAAAAAACAGTCGTGCTGTAATTCTGAACGTGCTTATTTCACCCCTGAGAGTGCCATTCCTAGAGTATCATGCTTTCAGCTCCTGCTAAGTGCAGCACACCCCAAAAATGAATGGAAATATCTTTTTTTTCTCATTTTTCTTCTTAAACTTTACTGTAGTTGGATCTCTCTTTGTTTCATGTTTGCCTTTTTTGTGAAGGGAAACAGCTGTCTAAATAAGAGTGAAAGGGATGTTTTAAACTTAAGGAGTAGCAATGGCTTTTGTATATATGATTTTAACAAGAAAATGCATTCCTAGTGGAGAGAGGTAGTTGGCATAAAAATGCTTTCAGAATATATTCCAATTATTGATAGAGACAATTTTGCAATCTATTAGTATTAATCTGGTCCTTTTTCAAATAGAATAGTGTGCTTGTCTCTTGGTTTTGTCTTCAAGAATTTTACCACAGTACCTGTAGTTTTTAACACTCTTAACTCCCTACATTGAACACAGTATTTTCAGATGCTGAAGACTTATATTTTGATTCTTAAGACCTCAAATATGAGGATCTTAATTGTTTTGAAATTTCAGTCTTTATGTAAAAGCTATAAACACCATTTGTGAGTGGCTGAGTTGCTCAGAAACACTCTTTTCCACAAGAAAACAGATGCCTGCACTAAATTATTGTTATAGCTGTGATTTACTTTTGCTTAATAATTTTTCTGAAGATTTCAAACAATAATCCTGTTGTAGTTAATAACTCCTTAAATATCTGTTTTTAATTTTTGTTTAGCCTACACAATGGAAAAGCCAAGAAAAAGAAATTAAATTTGCGAATCAATTTCCTCACCAATCTGCATATGGTGTTGGCAGTTTCAGTCCTTTCAGATCTACTGCCAAGGCATTTTCTGTATCACAAAGTTCAGTGAATGAGGTAAAGCAATGTCTATAGTTTTTATCAAACCTATAAAATGTTTAATTTGGTTAGGTAAGGGGGATCAGTAAGTTTTGTTCAGAATTGCATTAGATAAGTTTTCTTGGAAGTTAATGTGTGAGAAACGTGGAAGACACATCACCGGCCTTTAAGTACTGCACAGTTTGCTTTGTAGCATTGATTTGGGGTAAAAATAGTATATGAAGAATTATAACCTGATAGGTTTAAAGTTCAAAACTGCTAGTGGTGTGATACACTTCAAAGTTAGCAGTGCTGTATAAACCTGCATCTTTGGGTTTACGTGTAAGAACTGTATATACTGAAATGCAAGTATCTTCCATCTGCTTTTGGCTGTGGGTATATGTGGAACCTGGAACTACAGGTGCCAGGGAGTCTTTTGTCTTTCATTCAAACTTTCTAAATGAATAAACTTCTAATACAATTTTTTTTCTGACTCCTTACATTAGTTTAGTTGGTCAAAATCTTCATCCCCTGTTGACAAAGTTGGTCAGCCTCGTTTAACAAAATTGACAAGAATGCGGACTGATAAGAAGAGTGAATTTCTGAAAGCATTGAAACAAGACAGAGTGGAAGAGGAACATAAAGATGAGAATCATGTTGGGCAAGAGAAGGTATTTTTCTTCATACCCACTGCAGATCTAGCGGTAGCATTCAGAAAGACTATAATCTACTTTATATTTTGCTGTTACCAGCTGTTAAGTCATGGTCTTGGATCTCTGAATGAAGGAAGGGAATAATGTTAGATGAAACTTAAAAAAGTTTTTCCATGTATTACTCTTCTTTCAGTGCTTCTTAGTACTTTCTTTGTTTCTGCAGTATCTGTTCGTACATATTAATAGCTCAAGTACATCTGTGTCTTTAGCAACAATAAAAAGAATAAATTAAGCTTAGTACACTAACCTAATCACAGAATCATTTAGGTTGGAAAAGACCTTTAAGATCACGTACAGCCTTTGACCTAGCAATTTCAGGCCCACCTCTTAACCATGTCCCTAAGCACCACGTCCACACGTGTGTTAAATACCTTCAGGGATGGTGGCTCAACCACTTCCCTTCTCCAGTGCTTGACAACCCTTTCAGTGAAGTAATTTTTCATAATACCCAATCTAAACCTTCCCTGGTGCAACTTGAGTACCTTTCCTCTTGTCCTTTTGCTTGTTACTTAGGAGGAGGGATGGAATGCCACCTCACCTACAGCCTTTTTTCAGCTAATTGTAGAGAGCAATAAGGTCTCCTCTGAGCGTCCTTTTCTCCAGACTAAACAATCCCAGTTTCCTCAGCTGCTTCTCAAAAGACTTGTTCTCTAGATCATTCACCACCTTCGTTGCCCTGCTCTCGACACACTCCAGCACCTCCATGTCCTTCTTGTAGTGAGGGACCCAAAACTGAACACAGGATTTGAGTTGCGGCCTCACCAGTGCCAAGGGGGGCAATCTCTTCCCTGTATCTGCTGGCCACACTTCTTGATACAGGCCAGGATGCTCTTGGCCTTCTTGGCCACGTGGGCACACTGCTGGCTCCTCTTCAGCTGGCTGTCAACCAACACCCCCAGGTAATTTTCCATCAGGCAGCTCTCCAGCCACTCCTCCCCAAGCCTGTAGCGCTGCTGGGGGTTGTTGTGACCCAAGTGCAGGACCCAGCATTTGGCCTTATTGAGACTCATGTGATTGGCCTTGGCCCGTTGATCCAGCCTGTCCAGATCCCTTTGTAGAGCCTCCCTACCTTCCAGCAAGTCAACACTCCCTCCCAGCTTGGTGTCATCTGCGAACTTACTGAGGGTGCACTCGACCCCCTTGCCCAGATAATTCATAAAGACATTAAACAGAACTGGCCCCAATACTGAGCCCTGGGGAACACCACTTGTGACTGGCCGCCAACTGGATTTCACTCCACTCACCACCACTCCTTGGGCCTGGCAATCCAGCCAATTTTTCATCCAGCAAAGAGTACACCCATCCAAGCCATGAGCAGCCAGTTTCTCCAGAAGAACGCTGTGGGAAGCTGTGTCAAAGACTTTACTAAAGTCCAGGTAGACAACATCCACAGCCTTTCCCTCATCCACGAGGTGAGTCTCCTTGTCACAGAAGGAAATGAAGTTAGTCAAACAGGACCTGACTTCCATAAACCTATGCTGGCTGGGCATGAACCATTGGTTTTCTTGTACATGCCATGTGGTGGCACTTTCTAACATCTTTGCTGAAACCTGCCAGGGCGTCCTCTTCTACTAAGCCTGACACTCTTCTAACAACTATGAAAGAGTAATTTAAATTACGGAGAATGACTGAATTGCAGAACTTGCGGATATTTATTTGTGAATGGAATTTACTTTAATACTTTGTAATATATGATTATTTTGAACAGAGCGTTGAGTCCTTTAACTTGAATAACAGCAACAGTCCTCATCATGAGAGAGATATAAACCAAAACTTTGAAAATGAAATTCCACAGGAGAATGGCAGTGCTTCAGTTGCATCTCAACAGCACATTCAGTCTTCACCTTTCCCTCGGGCAGATGTTCTTTCAAGCTCACTTGAGGCAGAGCATAGGTACGTGCTTTATATAATACAGCATTCCTTCCTGATAAGTGAGCATGTCATAAATTCTTGCTAGTTCAGAAGTTAGAATCTGAAAACTGAGAATACATAAAATTTTTAATGCTTACTATCAAAGTTTTGATTTTTAGGCACGTACTAACTCAACATGGAATATACTGTGTTTCTACTAGACTTCTACTGACTTAGTTTACTGAAAATTTGATGTATTTCCTTCTAAAGAAATAAAGCAAACTGCATACTGACTTTATCCCTCTGATTTTGATTAGCATATCTAAGAGGAACAATGCATATAACTGTTGTTTGTATCAATAATACTTTAAATGCTGTTTCTTATGCAAAACTCCACTGAGTTTTTCCTCATTGTTAAAGTAATCGTTTCAGTGGCTGACTCGTTGACATTGACAGTGATATCGTAAGACAATGCACTGGAAAGGGAGAAGGTAACTTCAAAAAAAGATTGGAACAATTCTAGTATCTCATAGAAGTAACTGCCGGAGCAGCTGTTAAGAGATGAGAATGATACTGCTGGGAAATCACATCTTAGTCTGATGATGAGCCTCTCATGAGCTCTGTCAGATTCTTCCTGTTTCTGGCAAGGCAATGATAGACCAGATTAATTTTAGTGATAGATTATACATGTATATTGAACTAGAGGGCTTTCCCTTTTGTAGTACCTGCAGAGGGAACTTTAATGATTTCTTATCCATGACAAATATGAAAAGTGAAATGTACCCTGTTCAGTTCCCTTTTTTCCGCTGTTGGCTATGGAGACAGAAATGTTTGGCGACTGGAGGCTGCTGCTGCTCATCTAACTATAAGACAGAAGTCAAATCTAACTATCCCCAGGCCCCTTTCCCCTACGCTGCTCTCCCACAGGTCAGTCCCCAATCTATACTGGCACATGGGGTTGTTCTTTCTCAGATGCAAGACTCTACACTTGCCCTTGTTGTATTTCATAAAATTTCTCCCTGCCCAACTCTCCAGCCTGTCGAGGTCTCTCTGAATGGCAGCACAGCCTTCTGGTGTGTCAGCCACTCCTCCCAGTTTAGTGTCATCAGCAAACTTGCTGACAGTGCTCTCTGTTCCCTCACCCAGGTCGCTGATGAATATATTGCATAGTACTGGTCCCAGTACTAACCCCCGAGGGACTCCTGTAGCTGGAGTAAGAAGACTTCATCAGTAGGCTCCTCTTGATCAGGCAGACTGTAGTAGACACCAACCATGAGGTTCCCCTTGTTCTCTTAGTCCTTAATCCCTACCCATAAGCTTTCAGCTTGCTCTTGGCTATTCTTTAGTGATATCTCTTCACACACTGTCCATTTCTTAACATAGAGGGCAGCACCTCTGCCCTCCTTCCTCGCTTGTCCCTTCTGAACAGCCTGTAGCCACTGATAGCCACACTCCAGTCATGGGTTTAATCCCACCAAGTTTCAGTAATTGCTACTATGTCATAGCTTTCCAGTAGCACAGTGGCTTCCAGCTCCTCCTGTTTGTTGCCTGTGCTGTGTATGTTTGTGTAGAAGCACTTCAGCTGGGCCGTCGGCCATGTCACCTTCTTGGTGGAACACCTCTTAATTCCCTTGAGGTGTTCTATGGATGTTTCTCCATTGGCTCCTACCACCTCAGGAGCCCCTGGTTTGTCTCTGTAAGATTTTAACTGTCCCCAGCTCGCCTCAGGGTAACTTACATATGTCTGTACAAGTGCATGTATTCTTTTCAAAGAGTGTTTCTAATGACTTGCATATTATTTCTGCTTCTTCCCGAGGATTTAATTGTTTTTGTCTGTCACATTGCCCATACTATGGAGAAAGTAATTTCAATTTGTTAATCTCCTTTAACTTTTTTTTTGTTTTTTTTAAACAGAGTAATTCTGTTTTCTCTTTCTACTTCTACAGTTATAGGCTGTTATTGTGGTTTTAAAACCAGTCACTAGTGTCATTGGTCACCTGTAAGTTTGTCTGTGCACATCCATTTTATTGGGATCTAGAGTTCTTTGTGTGGAGGGTTATGCTGAAGGGCATTTTTTTGCTGACATCAGCTGTGAGTTCATCTTCCCTGCTCTAATATATTCACTGTTCTTCAGCTCTGGCTGCCAGTTTCTTGTGTCAGTTCTGGCATATACTTTAGAAACCTATTTTTTGTGAAATAGCTTTCACCTCCTTTAACCTTTAAGGCCAGCAAGGGTATTGTTTGCTTGAACAAGGTGCTAATCCTTTTGGCAAAAACTATACAGCAGGAGAACTCACTGTGTTGTTGAATGTCGTGATCTCTTCACCCTCGGATTACCCCTGTTTTCACAGCATCTTCACATGCAAAATCACTTTCTTCCTGCTCAAGTACTGCTGTCCCACTTTTGGCACTAACTGAAACACATTGATTATTGCATCTTTGGGTATCTGAGGCTTAGTCATGAGAGGAATCTGTCTCTTGTTTCTTTTCCTCCTCTTATCCCAAAATTCCTAGTTGTCTGATGAAGTATCAGCATCTGCCTTTGAGTGAGACCCAAGTTGCAAAGAAGCCTGTCCTGTCTGACACGAGCATGTGCTAGAAAAAGGAATGCGTATGAGGCCTTTGCTTCCTGAGATGGTTCCCGTAGAGGGACAACACCAGCCTTGGGGTTGCTCAATTATCCAGGAAAACCTGCAGATTCTCTCAGTGTGAGTCTTAGTCTCTTCCTACGGTTTTCAAGAGGGTACACTGCTGCCCCACAAAAGCAGTTGCGCAAAGGAAATATATCTTACTGTTATGCCTGACACATTTATAGCTTTAAAATGGAGGTAGTTTATGCCACATGTAGTGATAAAACAAGGTCATCTGTAAAGGAGCTGAGATGTTCTCAACTTCTATGCTTTATATATAATTTGTAAGACTTTTAACCTACTTTTATATAATTTTTTTTAAAAAACCCAACAATAGGAACTGACTAATCCATTTGTTACAGATCTTTACATATACATGTAGACAGAGCTTGAAAGGTCTGAGTGTGTGTAGCAAATTTCGTAATGTTGTCTATTTTAATTTAAAGGTTATTAAAGGAGATGGGCTGGCAGGAAGACAACGAAAATGATGAATCATATGCCCCACTAACAGAGGATGAAATGAGAGAATTCAGAGCGATTAGAGAACAGGTAATGCTAAGTTGATGTTCTGTTATAAACTCGTGGTTGGTTATTCTAAATGCCTACCTTCTAGGAGGATCTACAGTAGTTGTGATGATCAAGGATGTTGCTGTTTCAGTACCATTTCAGTACTGTGCTTTTGGAAGAATAGTTGATTTAAAAAGATAGGGGACCAGTGCTTGGGTAAGGCCTATCCTCAAAATATAAAGAGAGAGTGATAAAGGATTGCTGCTGAGTAGTTTAAGCATTGCTGGTTGTAGAATAGCACAGGCTTCCTAGCTCCTCAGCTTAGTCCGAGGAAAGGGAATTTTCTTTCATTTTTTTGGTGCAGTTCGTTTGATTCTTCAAAATATGAATTTTCTCTGTTTGTAAGTGAGAGACATTTAATTGACTAGAAACAAAGTGTGAAAAGGCCATCTAGACTTGAATGTTCTTATTTATTTATTTAATTTTAATTTTTGGGGGGTGACTAGGAATGTTGTATATACCTGATGGCGTCAGTGAGGAGAAGCTGGAAGGGAGAATCTTGTGCAATGTCAGATCTTAAACACTTGATGGCTCCGTAAGTTCAGCCACACACATTCATTAGAGCATTTTGAATATTAAACTCTTAATTGCTTTACTTATTACCCAGCTTCTGCACTATGTGTGGAAATGCAGTAATTCCTTTCATATTGTAGAATCAGTTGTTTCCTGTCTCTCCTGTGTCTTTGACTTCCCAGCTGCATCAGGTAGACAGACTGGGATACCCATTCCCCCCTGCTGCGTCTCCTCTTCTGGGCCCCTTCCTTATTGCAGACTCTGTCCTCTTAGCACAGAAGGTTGCAGCACAATGGGAAAAGGGGCTGCATTGCACAAGAGACCATGTGGGAGGAGGAATCACTGGGGCAAGACATTTGAAGAAGTGAGTAAGAAGAGGCTAAGCTGCTGTTGACTACATGAGCTTAGCACAATTGGAGGTGTTCAAGTACAGGCGACTGGCCCAAAAGTGAAGGCTCTCAGGGGAGTTTTCCTTTCTGTGTATATATGAAGAGGTAGTGCTATGGATCTAACGTAGCCTAGAGAGGAAGATGTAGAGAATGTTGAAATGCAACAGATTGTTGTTTAGCTCTTTTCTTCTTCAAAATACATCTGATTTTTTTCATTTCAGCTACAAAAGAATGGACTAAGAAGAAACGGCATTTTGAAAAATGGCCTCATCTATGGTTTTAAATTTAGCCCCTGGAAAAACAGCACTTTCAAACCTGCTCTGGATAATGAGGACTCTGAGACGAGCAGTAGTGATACATCAGATGATGATGATGTGTGAAGACTTGTGTAACATCTGTAGAAGCCTGTTCTGATCTCATGAAAACTTGGGGATGTGTTGTCTAAAAAAAAATTTCTAATTTATGTAGTAACATACCCACTAGAGTAAGAATGGTGGTTCTCTTCTCTGCAGAAAGCAAAGGAGTGGTATATTGGGTGTGTTGAACGTTACTATAATTTCTTTGTAAACGAATGTTGTAGAATGAGGGCTTGGGTTCACCCAGCATTGACTTTCTTAATCACTGAAGCATTTCTGACTAGCAATGTGACAATGTAACAATCAGACTTTCTCATTTAATAATACAATAAAGAATTGTGTACTGTCTTGCAAAACTTCTGTCTATAAAATGTCTAAGTCTATAAGGAAAAAAAAAAAGAGCAGCTTTACACAGTGTTTTGCTTGCCAAGTAATTTCTTTCTTGCAGTGGAAATTCTTGAGTCCACTTTGTACACCAGAAGGACTATGTGGTATGTTGGCTAAAATGAGCAAAGTGCACTAAACCTCTTTTTCTTAACTGAGCACTTCCACACATAACTGCTCTTTAGCCATTTGTAGTGTAGTCATTATAAACAGCAAAAGACCCTGATACTACAGTTCCAAATTTCTAGAACATACCTTTAGGATGAAAGCTTTATGGGTCATTGAAAAACACGGTATCTCACAGTGAACTAATTTCTCATGGGAAAATAAGCACTTGGATTTTGCTGTTCACATACAGAAAAATAATTACTCTGACTGTATTTGTCCGCTACCTGGAAAATGAACTGATTGACAGAGTATTGTCTCAGTGCATAGCATCTAGGGTGTTGGTTTTAAGTGTGGTAAATTTTGTTTGCATTTCATGTAAACGTACTCTGGCAGAGTATATTGCTTGTTCAGGGAACAAGCAATCCAGGAGATTCCTGGAATGCATTGATGACAACTTCCTTCTCCAAGTGACAGAGGAACCAACTAGGAGAGGTGCCTTGTTTGACCTCATTCTCACCAGTAGGGAAGGGCTGGTGGGTAATGTTAAACTTGTGGTAGCCTTGGCTGCAATGACTGTCAGGTGGTGGAGTTTGAGATCCTAAGGGCAGCTAAGAGCGGGAAGCTCAGCAAGCTTGATACCCTTGATTTCAGAAGAGCTGACTTTCGCCGCTTCCGGAACCTCCTTGGTAGTGTGCCATGGGATAAATCCGTGGAGGGACTAGGAGCCTAAGAAAGCTGGTTGACTTTCAAGGATCATCTCCTCCAAGTTCAAAGACACTGCATCCCTAAAAGGAAGAAATCAGGCAAAAATACTAGGACACCTATATGGATAAACAAAGAACTCCGGGCGAAAATCAAATACAAAAGGGGAGCACACAAAGCCTGGAAGCAGGGACTGGTAACCTGGGATGATTACAAGGAAGTTGCTTATGTAATCAGAGACCAGGTTAGAAAAGCTAAGGCCCTGACTGAGTCAAATCTGGCCAGCGATATTAGAAATAACAGGAAAGATCTTTACAGATATACAAGAGAAAAAAGAAAAATGAGAGACAATGTAGGGCCTCTCCGGAAGGATACAGGTGACCTGGTTACTAAGGATGTGGAGAAGGCTGAAATACTCAGCAACTTTTTTGCCCCAGTCTTCACTGGCAAACACTCGAGCTACATCACTCAAATCACAGAGGGTGTTGGCTGAGGTCTGGGAGAAGAACCACCCAGGGTAGGAGCAGATCAAGTCCGAGAACACCCAGAGAACCTGAAGGTGCACAAGTCCATGCAACCTGGTGAGATACACGGGTCCTGAAGGAACTGGCAGCTGAAGTTGCTAGGCCACTGGCCATCATATCTGAGAGGTCCTGGCAGTCTGGTGAGGTTCCCACAGACTAGAAAGTGGGAAACATAACCCCCATCTTTAAAAAAGGGACCAAGGACAACCCGGGGAACTTTAGGCCAGTCAGCCTTACCTCTGTGCCAGGTAAAATCATGGAACAGATTCTCCTGGTAGCTGCATTACGGCACAAAAAAATATAATCAAGTGGTTGGTGACAGCCAGCATGG